CCAGGCTGTAGATGGCCACGGCGCTGCCTCGTTGCTCGGCGGGCCAGATGTCTGCTAGGGCGCCGTCGCCTAGCTGGATACGAATTAGCTGGGCATACTAAAGAGGGTATCAAAGGGGATGGCATACAACTAACGGCCCACTCCCCCCGAAGCCGCTCAAAAACCGAAAGACGATCATCTGTGCCGTGGACTGACTAAACCCTCCGGCAATGTTGAAGATCAAATACATCAGGTTCCCCAGCTGCAGGACCCACACCCGGCCGTACATCTCCGATAGGGGTCCGAGCAGTAGCGGACCTAATCCCCAGGCCAGCACGAAGATGGAGAGAATCATCTCTGATGCGATGGTGCTGGTGGTGCCGAATTCATGGGCGATGGCGTCCACGGCGGGCGAGACCATGGATGAGGAGATGGGAGAGACCAGTCCGAACCCGGAGACGATTAGGGTGGCGGTCCATTTTTGGCGGTAGGTCCAGTTTTGGGGGTTGGAGGGGTCGTCAGGTCCGTTCCAGGTGATCTGTGGTGTGGATAGTACCGGTTCGGATGCATGTGGGAGAACAGGCTCTTGGTTGTTGGCTGTAGAGCCGAGTTCGGGGTCTGGAGAGGTCATGATCAAGGAGTGAGTTGGTTGATTGCTCCAGGATATTTGAAAAGCCTCATACTTTATATCACTTTGTGGAAGAGGAGGGTACTCCGGACTCCGTATTTGTTGAACTCCGGACTCCGCATGATGATGTACGGAGTCCGGACTAGTTTCGAGACATTCTGGTTTCCATCTCTGCAGAATACTCCGTCTTCGATCCTGCTGTTATCGAGCCTGTTCTGTATCACTTTACCTTCCATGATCGCTCTGCTCTGGTCGTTTCTCGACCCTCCGCTGTCATCTGTCATCCTGGCACGTATGTGCTGTCGAAACACGCGAAAGGGGTCAGAATCACGGAGGGGACATGAAGTGATATAGCAAAATCTAGGTATATTTCTACCAATGGAACAGAATCTTCTCAACCAGAGTCAACTGCTCTGGGTATTCGTGCCCACAAACACGACCAGCACTGCTGCGTATGCCGCCTGCTCGAAAGAACATCCATTAGCTTCTCCAGGTAGGTCGCCATCAACACGCCAAACACCAGCACACAAACTGACGTCGAGGTGAGTGCCGTATAGCGCGTACTGTGCACCATCAGCCACATGGGACCAACCAGGAAGATACCACCTACCGAGGCCGTGAGCAAGCGTCCGTAGAAGCTTTGCAGGCGCCGGGCCTGAAGGGTAGCGTTCCGCGTGCCACCAACCGGCTGGGCACCCAGACTGCCGGGTCGACCACTCGTTTCGTCGCCGAGGGATTCTTTCCAACACCCAGGCGACGACGGAGTCGTTGGTGGTGGCCACGAACGGGTCCTGCGTGTAGACTCCGATGGCGGTAGTCGGGGGTGGACTAGAAGCTTCAGCTTTGTCTCTCGCAAGCCGCCGCGTCCGGTTCATTCCTCGACTCGCTTAGACATGTTACCCATGAATCTACCGACCGGAAGCAGACGTTTCAGTTTTCAAGGGAGTCTGTGTTATTAGTTAGGTTTTTGACTTGCAAATGCTAGATGTCTCTCAAACAGTGATTCTTCCCGGAACCCTAAATCAGTTAGGGTTGTACTTTCTTTCAAACCAACAATCCAAATCAATATTTCCTAAGCATAGAGACAGCTCTTTACAGTAACCCTCCCCTTTGACCCGTGAAGAATACTCTTCACCAGCTAATTCTAACCGACGTCAAGATCTATAAAACCAATCCATTTCACCCAACAATACCAAATCCAACCCTCACCTCTATCAAAGCCCCCGAATCCCACCCTCCCCAACAATCAACTCAACCCACCACACACCCCACAAACTTCTGCGGCCGAACCTCCCCCTCCTCGACAGGCCGATGTCTAATAATCCCACAAAACTTGGCAATCCCTTCGGTCTTCGCACCCCGGAACTCGAATATCAATCTGTCGGGAAACGTCGTCACCTCGCCGCCCGAATACACCTGGCCCGGGCTGTCCCGGTCCAACGGGAACTCCCATTTGTTGGATCCGCATTCGAAGGGGAGGCGTTCGTGGTTGGCGTAGGGGTGGGGGTACTTGTCTGGTTTGGTTGTTAGTTTTATTATTTCCTTTTGTTGGATGTATGTTTGGGGATGGGGTTGGGGTTTTGGGATGAGTCACTAGTAAGAAATAAATGAATGGATGAATGAATGATTAAGAGAGAGAGAGAGAGAGAGAGAGAGAGAGATAGTATAAAGAACGAAGGAAATGGAATATACTTTTCCCAATCATCTTCTTCACATTCGCCAAATTCGCCGCTTTCACAAACGCAGGGGTAAGTTGGCCCGATGTGTAGGTAGTTGCTTCGTAGTTGGAGGTTTTCGGACACTCGTAGGATTTATTTGGCATGCCGGCGGTTTTGAGCTTTCGGGTGCGTTTGGTGAATTCTTCTTTGGGTGTGTCTTTATTTTTGAGGTCGAGGTCGAGGTCGGGTTCGGGTTGGGTGGTGGTGTCTCTGGTGTGTTTGGCTTTGTCGTAGTGTCCGGTGAGAAAGTCTTCCAGGAGCTGCGATCCGGGATCTCGGGGGGTCTTGTGGGTGTGGGTGTGGGAGTGTGCTTGGGGGAGGATATTGTGGGCGTTTAGGGCATGGTTGATGGCGTGGCTGTGGGTTGTGGTGGTGAGGATGGACATGAGGAGGAGAAAGGGGAGGAGGAGGGTGTGTAGTGGGGAGGGCATTCTGATGTTCTGGATCAATTGGAGGGATGATGCTTGGGCTGGATGGATGGATGGATGGATGGATGGATGGATGGGAGAGTAGTCTGGGAAGGACATCTTGATGCCTTTATGTCCATAGGATGGCGAGGCTGTCAGGGCATGCTACAGTAGGACAGAAGGGGCGAAATGTAGCCATGGGGCCAAATGGTCGAGATCAAGGCTGAAAGTATCTCTCTCAGCTGAGCTGCAGCAGATGAAACTGCAATGTTGCTACTGTTTGCTGTACTACGTGTAGGATGCTATACATAGTCTGGAGACGAGGCTGAGGCCAACAGCAAACAAAGAACATCAGACCAATGACAGTCACTCCCTGTGCGACCGAACTAACTAAATCACGACTAGACCTTATGCTGTCAGCTATCACCCCAGTCTATATAATCTCACTCATCCTCCCTCCTCTTGACATTTCACCCTCTTCCAACCACCGCCCCCAAGCAAACATCAAGCATCCCAAACAGACACCATGACCTCGCTCGACGCCTTCCTCCGCGCCCAACGCGAGCAAGAATACCCCCCCGACCCGGAGATGCTGACAGCCCTCGAGGCCCTCTTCACCGACCCCTCCCTGCCCGCCTCCACGGCCGCCCGCACCGCCATGACGCAGGTCATCGCCGCCGAAGACGCCAACCCTAAGCCGAACCCCAACCTCGAGAGCTTCTGGATCCTACTGTTCCAAGCCATCGGACTATTCACCGAGCAGAATGACCGTCTACTGGAATTGATTCTTGCCATTCAATCCCTCCCCGATTGCAAGGGAGGGTTTCATAAACTCCCTGGAATTCATGAATATTTGTTGGAGTTTGTATTTGATTGTATCTCCCCATTATTTCCATCTCTATCATACATATATCTCTCCCCTTGGAGAAAACAACACAACGCTAAGTAAAACAGACGTCGACCACCCCTTCAACCTCCCCTACTCCGACCCCGAACCCGATATCACGGATCGGGCCTGGCTTCACTTTCCCCCTCATCGCGACATCCAACGTCAAGCCTGGTTGAACGTGAACCTCTTCATGGCCAAATTACACCCTCATGTCACCACCACCCCCGTCTATGGCTTTATCGGTCATGGTGAATTCACCATCCGGAAGACCCTCGAGAAAGCGCCCTGGGAGATCGTCCACCATGAGAATCTCGAGGAACATCTCTCGTTTTGGCTGGAACAGGACGAGGAGGAGTATGATAGGGAGAAAGATGATCAGATGGAGATGATTGATATCCGGACGTTGGATGGGTGGGTGCCTGCGGCGGCGGTGTGGTTTCGGCTCTGTGGGAGGGCGATGTATGAGAAGGAGGGGCATGAGATGTCGAGTGAGTGGGAGGGGTCCAAGTGGACAGGGAAGCCCGGGTGGAGTCGCGAACGGTGGGCGTTTTGGAAGGAGAGGTGGGGGTGGATTGCGCAGGTGACGGCGTTGAATCGAGGGACGAGGGAGATTGCGAGGGAAATGGTGGAGGTGATGGGGAGGGTGGGTACCGAGTAGACGGAGATGATTAGTTCTGTGGTGGCAGTGCAAGTGAGGATATGAAGGGCTGACACTCGCACCACCAGTCCACAATCCAACTATTCCATATAGAACTAACTCCCAAACTCAATCTTCCTTTTTAGTAACATTAATACACCTCAACATTACTCCCAGATCCTTCTCCACCAGGATTGCTGATAGGACACTCTTTACGCCATATAGCACATGAACAGTTGAACCTCCCCAAGAAGACATATGCTGAGCACAGAGACTTATTATCCGTTAGTATTGACCCCAAAGGGATGGAAAATGAGACGAATGACTCACTATAGTTTTAAGCATCGCATACCTGATATAGATAGATAACATCGTGGATGAAGCCGATTCTGGTGGTATCCGTGAAAATGTCTTGCAAAGTTCATGGCTTTTTTTCTCATGGTTTATATGGCTGGCATGTCCTGGTCTTCTTAGAGGTGAACTTGATAGGAGCCCGGCAACGTTACTACCAAGCATCTGACTACTCGTGTGTATGTATCTACCTTTCCATCGGTCTATGCCGACAAGGCCCAGCAACCCTATACCGAACCACCCCATCCATCCATACCTGTACACATACCTACTCCCAGTAAGGTTGCGCCCCCCCCCCCCAAAAAAAAACAAAAAAGAAAAAACTCCCTCCCTGGAACGCCAACGCCGACGATGAAAACCAGGCAGTGGGTCACGTGACCAAAAAACAACCAGCCCTACGTGGGGGTCGAACCCACAACCTCAAGATATCTGTATCTCTCTCATACACAAGAGAGTCAAAGGGACCTTCAAGATAATGTTTTTATCAGAAGTAGTAATAGAAGTCTTGCGCGCTACCATTGCGCCAGCAGGGCCTTGCTGTTGTTGGGGAGGGGAATAAATATTGTAATATGTATCTATCTGTGTCTGTGTCACTTGAGGTGGTGGCGACGACGACTTTCGTGGGGGGGATTCTATTCTGCCATGGGGTGCCACTTTACTACATACCTTGCTGGATGAATGAATGAATGAATGGATTCTGTTTAGATATATTTATTGGGTTTTATCATATAAGAGGGGGGATATTCATAGAACGATGATGGGTATTAAATTAAGTATATATATATATATAATACTCTTTATACGAAGGAAGTACGTGGTTAAAATGTAGATCTGCGTATGGAGTACATACATGCTAACTTGACTAACCCAGTTAGCTAGCTAGGTAGCTATTCCTGATGAAAGCGGAGCATACCATATTGATTAACCCCAACCAACCAACCAACCAACCTATCTATCCTCAGATAAATTTCCTCATCTATTTATTTAATCAGAAATCAAATTTAGCGAGCTGTTCAACCAACCAACCAACCAACTTTGGCTCTGGAAGGTAAGTAAGTCTGCAAAATCTAAAACGGAGTCTTATCTATCTTTTCTCGAAAACAATAATCCCTCTAAAGTAATATAATAAATACTCTTTGATGCAATGAAAATATGATTTACATTTATTGATTTTCGGAATACCTCTCTCTACTTATTGTAGTTTCTTTTCTGGTTGACTGACTGTTGGAAATATAAGTAAGAGAATTTGTTTTCTGTTTGTGTTGTGGTATGGTATTGTTGGATGTAAGACGAACTTAAGGAAGGATTTGATAGATTGGGATTTATATATCCTGGTTGTCTTTGAGAGTAGTTAAAGTACCGCACGAGTCAAAGTTATATTAGAAAAGAGGGTTCCCCTCCCGGGATAGAATTTTTTTAACGTGTATTTAATAAAGATACTTCAATATCTGATTTAGATATTAGAAGATTGGCTTGAATCTTCAAATCCTGTGAAAGAATATTATTTATATTCTCTTAGAGTAATTAATAGCCACATGATATTAATTAAATCAAATCCAAAACTTCGCTATGGTGTAGATCTATTCTTTCATGCATTCTATGGAGGTCTAAATACTCTGTAAAAGATTAATTCAATATATCTGATACCACGAATCCTGTGACATATTTTAGAAAGATCCAGAGTTCAAAAACTTGCAGCGCGGTGACAATTCCCCATCCATGGAATAGAGCAATAAAGACTGCCCTGGATTCTGAAATAGCTTGGCCATGTTGACGGATTATCTGATGCCAAGGAAGAAATTAGAAAACACTGGTTAATATATAGATATCCCTGGTCTGGATTTCGATCATCGGTTATAAGATTGGCATATTCTATGGGACATCCCATATCTTATTATTATTGTGTTGTTGGTCATTGCTGTATTCTCCCTCTGAATACTCCCAAAGCTGATTGTTGTAATCTGCTGATGTTTAAGATTCCGAATTGCTTTGTTTATATATTCCATTTCACGGTTTCAACCATGTTTTCGTAACTTCAAGCGGACTGTGCTGTTCGCTGATACTTTCCAACTCTTCAGCTACGCCTGACTGAGCCAGCCAGGTAAGGCGTTCTTCGTGATATTGTTAATCGTCTGGAGATAGTATAAAGTCTCTATAGAGATCAGGAAACATAAATTGATCCTGTACGGTAGATCCTAGAATAAACCATTTGTTAAACCCCATTCCATGATCGTTATAAGAATAGTCAACATACCTATTGAATTTCCCGAGCCCACTTTTCATAATCATACATTGGTGATTCCATGATAAGAATTATCCCCGCTGGAGCGTTTCGTATCGAGTAAGTAACCTAACCAGCCCTCAGCCTGCTTATTTTCCGTCCAGGAGTCGAGCGTGCTGTTACTGTCTTTAAGGAAACAGACAGACAGATCGTACTTCTTCTCTCAATAGCCTTTATCGTTGCAAACCCCGACATCGAGGTACTTTTTTTCTTTTTGCAGTCGGATATTATATACCCTTTTTTGTTTGCAATAAACCCATGCATGGTATTGTATTGCATACTAGGCAAATTTGATCGTGACCCCATAGCAACCATCCACCCACCCCTTGAGCAAAGAGCAATATTTCGTTTGAGGGAGCAGCGTCTGCAACTTTCAGTAATCGAGTAGCAAGGAAGAAATTAGATCCCCTTTCCCCTACCCTACCCTACCCTACCCTACCCAGTGGGGCCAGCTAGCCTAGCTAATAGAATAAATTCCCTAGCTAGAGATATAATTCACCATGTCGACACTTCACACCCACTAGACCTAGCCAGACAAAGAGTATATATAATATCCCAGGAGGCATAAGGGATAATATTCATTGCCCTGGGGTTTGTTTTCCCCTGGTGCTTGTTTCATCATTGAGGGAGTGTAGTGTCTCACCTCACCTCCACCACCATGATATAATTAATCCGATATGAGTATGAGTCTTCATCATCATGGTTTTGATCTTGTAGGTAGGTGGTTTAGGGTGGGGGTCGAAGACTTGAGAATGTTGAATGGATGAGGGTGGTAATGATGAATCAAATAGCAGGGTCAGATGGGGGAGGGGGGGGCTTGGTGGAGGTGTAGGTTTAGTGTAGGTGTGATAGATTATATACCACCCTGCGCGGGAAGCTTCCTTTGTATGAAAGGGAGGATCTGTAGGATCCTCAGGCAATCTCCCTCCACAGATCTGAACTTATCCTGGACTGTGTGTACTATTCATGGAAATTACCCTGGGAGTGAGTGATTAATGCGTGTAGGATACTCAACCTCGATGGATCTACCCGTTTAAAGCTGATAAATGATAGCGTTCTGAGTTAGGGCGGTTGGAATTCTAGTCTTTTATTACATGGCGGAGTTGGTAGCTCGATAGATACCTGGAGGGTTTACATATGATTGAGGAGATCATGCCATGGTTAGGATTTTATGTAATGAATGTCATGGATGAATCACCCATCCATCGATCCTCTAGGTTCGGTTCAGTTCTGATTCTGATTCTGTGATTGGAATGGGATTAGAATTAGGTTGGGATTCTTTGTTCCCAAACTCTATTACTTATTGAATAGGATTGGGATTGTTCTAGATGCAGTGGTGTCGTTCGTGTTCGGATATAATTAAAGCGGGGAATACCTACCCATCCCATCACCTCAATTCTACACTGCTAGTATTATATTCATTTTCTTTCTAATCAAGAAACTCTCTCTATTCCCTTATCAGTTAATTCCCACCACGGAAAAGATATGTAAGCAAGTAACCTAGTCTATGTCAACCCCCACCACATATCCTGTCCCCAGTTTAACAGATCCATCCAGGCCATATCCATATCCATATCCATACTCTCCAACCGAGGCTCATCCATGTGCTCCGGGGCAATCACTGAGCTGCTACTCGACGAAGCCAACACTCTCCCAAGAACATCCCGCACCACTCGCCTCGCCTGCAACGACATGGCATAGTTTGCCTGTCCAGGGGGCACATACGTCTCCAGGAAGAAGACGAAGATGCTGAGTTTTTGGATGATTTCGGCGCGGTGGAACTTGTTTTCTTCGTCTGACCTTATCCCTGGTTCTGGCTCTGGTTCTGGGGGGGTGGTGGTGGTGGTGGAGGAGTTCGATAGCTAATACCCCCGCGCAGGGAAGGGCATAGTAACATAACTATTTATATCAGCTTCCATCTCATCATCAGAGCAAAGTTGGCGATCGAGGACCTACCGACGAATCCACCGGTACGAGAGCAGAAAACGTCCTATCCGGTTTGGCGATATCGGCGATCCGGTCGAGGGTTAGGGAGAGGGTTTCGTGCGCGATGCGGATGAGTGGGTGTGAGCCGATCCCTGTGCGTTTTACCGAGACGCGGTATAAAAGGAATTCGGTGTAGAGAAAGTCGAGGTGCATGGATTGGATGGATGGATCGGTGCTGTTGCTCGGGGTCCAGTGGAGGAACGGGGGGAGGGTGGAGCGGATTTGGCGGGTGGAGGTACATAATTCTCTGCTCGGGTTAGTGAAGGAATGTAGGTGTCTGGGAAGACTTGCTCAATTCGTTGTGGGAGGTTGTCGAGTTCACGACACGAGGTCACTTCGAGGACGTTCTCTCGGAGTTTCGCAATCATCAACCCCACTCGTGGATGGGCGCCCTTGGATAAAAATCCCTGTCGGTTCCATCCAGTTGCATCCAGCTCACGCAGGGCAGCGTCTCGAGTCGGCTCATCCGCAATCATCTCCGCGTAGCTGAGATCCAGAGGCAGCAGCAGATCGCAATACCGATGGGAGAGGCGCGGAGGACGCCCCAACACTATTGCCAGCTCTTTATCAATCATGTATCCGGCGGCCATGGCTCGTTTGCGCAATTCAGCGAGAAAGAATGGGACCGTTGGATCCGCAGGGTCCGGCTCGTGCAGGCCCAGAGCAAACGCCATGGTCGATGCATCGCCCAGCAGTTTCCACGCTCGGTGATCTACCACGGTCAGTCATGCATCGAGCCCGCAAAGGACTCTTACCAGTGTTGCCCCACAGAATACTAACAAGAATGGTCTGCTGGAACAGCAGCCAGGTCGGAGGCTCGCTGAGAACCCCCCCGCTCTCACACAGCTGGATACACGTCGTCGCCATGCCCGCCATGCGCGACTGCAACGCACGTTTCTCCATCGCCTTTCCATCCCCGACAAAGACTGGATGCTCGCCGCGAATATGATGGATGGAGGCCCCGGTAATGGCAAAGAGCAATCCGATGCCCTCCCACCGGGCCGCCAGCAATCCGATATACTCGGCAAAAGTCATGTCAGGGTGCACCACCATGGGAGCATGGCTATTGCGGAAGATGGTCTTGGCCAGCTCATCTAGCCCCTCCGTGTGGTGCTGGAGCTGACGGATATGATCGACTAGTTCCTGGACAAACGGAGCACCGAATGCCCAGGGCTTGAACAGCGAGGCATACCGCGCGTCACAGATCTCCTTGTACCAGGCCAGGTCATCCAGACGCTGCAGCACCTGGACCCCTACTGCCACCTG